AAATAAACATGTACGTATATCACGCTGCGCCTTGGTCCGACTCGTCGATGAACGAACGTGACAATAGCAACTACTTTACAACCAATATACTTGATGTGGCTTTGAGATATGGAGCGGCATGTGCTCTAAAAGCGCACCAGCCATTGCGAGGGCATAGGCCTATAGGTCTCATGGGTAGTAGCCTACAACTGCAAGTTTTTTTTCATGACATTACATTTACTGTTGGATGAATACATGGCTACTAGCAGTGGGCATTATATTTAGAGTTAGTGATCTAATGAAAGTGTTTTGAGTTTCCACTTCCTCAGGTGTTCAACCCCAAATTAACTAGCCTATGATAGTTAGTGCATATAAAGATGTGTATAATGAATCTCTATTGAACAAAACAATTCTATTTTGACAGTAAAATATAGCAGCTGTAGTCTAATTGGCAACCCAAAATTCATGATAATCACTGGATTAGGTTGCACAAAATATCTTGAGCCATGCATTCCTGCTTGGACGTGCTAGATGAAACAACTTATTTCTTAAATACCTCCGTAGTCTACATTACACATCTTAATAAAGCTCTATGAATGACTTTATGTGATGATTACTCATGATGTGGGTCTGACCAAATCATGGGCTGGTGCCACCAACTGTAAAAGTTAGTGGCACCAGTGACACCAGGGGAACATGTTAGTCTGGAGCCCTGTGTTAGTAATTAACACTTAGAGTAGGTGTTGATTCAGGGGAACACATATGCCAAGAACTAATTAGCACTATGGCCTAAGCCGTTAGCTTGGCTTTTATAACGTCTAAGGCTTCAGCAGACAGAAAACAAATGAAACACAGTGACAGCAGTGTCTAAGTAGGGTGTGTAGGGTCAGGATGTAGGGTGTATGTGGGTGTGGTTGGTGGCCAGCCAAGGGAGGGGGGTGGGGGGGGTGAGTTGGTGGCACGCACAGTGATGTGGGCTGGTGTGGATAAAATGCCAGTGCCGAATTCTTGTCCCAGTCCCCCCCTGGGGGGAGACGTCCCTTCAGCTCCTCAGAGGGGAGTCACTTTTGAAATCCGGCACCCACACAGATACCTCAGCAGCATGGTTAGCTAAGCTGGGACTGTTCCCATTATCCATTTAACTCCAGCACACTGCTCAGTGTCAGCTTCCCTTTGTTCACACTCATTCAGTTACGAAGTAATATTACACCCCTCGGAATAGGATCGTTTTGCAAAGCCCCCGCAAAGGAAGGCATTTATCTTATTAGGAATCTTCTTTGAAATCGAAGGCATTGTGATTGTGGATTTATCTCCTCTCACAATCATTTACTATTCAACACATAGATAATAGATACAATTTCCCTGTGGCGAAGATTTTGGCTGTGTATCTCACTGTGGTCTTCATTGTCCTTCTGCCTTAATTTCTAAGCATACCCATAAGCAGCTTAACCTTTCAGCTTTTATCAGGGCAAAGAGCCAGAGATGTGTAGCTGATGATGATGTCACCGGGCTTTCTTAAACACTGACAGTGCATTTCAAGATCCGCCACAGTGGGAACATGACAGTATGAAAACCAAAGAGATGCTTATAAGCATGACTATTCCCATCTACAGTTTTATGTTAACAATTCTGCATGACTATGATTCATTTGATAGTACCGTGTTTCCTGTTAGACAGTAAGGGTGAGTAAGAGCGAGGGAGAGAGCACCTGAGGTCTACCACCACCGAGTTGTGAGTCATATGATTTAATATTGATTAGACACACACATCCTCTATTTCCTCTGTCGTGACCTATCGCCAATTCATCCTTATGCTGAACTATTTTTGTATGCTGTCAACACTGTCTCACCCCTCTTGTGTCTAATGTAATTTACACTAGGTGAAATGTGATAGGCTTTTACAAAATGACCCACTGAGAATCAAACCGACTATTACTGGTTTGCAGGAGTGTTGATAGCTCGGAATGGGGTCAAACGAGGAGACAACAAACACAGCCACTTTCCAGTCCATCAGCTTTCATTTGTAGGAAATGAACTTGCGTCGATAGGGCCATTGCTCTCAAGGATGTCATGAAGCTTGCATATGTGTACCCATCTACAGGAGCCTGAGAATTGTGTCCTTCCATAGCGCTATAATGCATTTACGCTGTAAGCTGCTCACTCCCATTCACTGCAGTGCCATCGTTGACATGTTTATTCATGAGCTCCGCGGCTCACTCTAGACTCGTCAGAGGAGTATTAAGAGTCATGTCTGGAGGCACAGAAGGGAGGGCGGGAGAGCAAGTGTAATGATTCAGTTTGAATGTGTCGTATGGCTTTTACTCTGCTCCCATTCCTTATTAACCATGATCGACACATTGAGTTTATAGAGAACTACACAGGGACTAAAGTGTCGTTAAAACCCTGCTCTTCATAGTGGTACATTTTCAAAGAGCCCTCCTCACCACTGGCCTCCTAGAGTACTTTGTGTAATTTTCTTTCTCCAGGATTCAAAAAATATATATTCGACGTACTAGAGGAGCATCTGGCTCTGATTTCCATGTGATTAGCAGAAATCTGTCTAGGCTGATGACTGCTGCTGCAGGAAGAAAATTAATTGAACTATCTGGATTTTTCTGTACATCTACAGTCAGTTTAGGGAGCTGCAAAGCACCAAAGCAAATTTTTCATTATGTACACAATATAGTTAACCACAGTTTTGTCATTTCGCAGACACTCTTACCTAGAGCGACTTACAGGAGCAATTAGGGTTAAGTGCCTTGCCCAAGTGTACATCGACAGATTTTTTCACCTAGTCGGCTCGGGGATTGGAACCAGCAATTTTTGGGTTACTGGCCCAGCACTCAACTGCTAGGCTACCTGCCGTGAGCCAGGGCACAAAAATGACTTCCTGTCATCATATACTATACCCCGAAAAGGGGAGCGACGTCACATTGACTTTGAGGGAGTATTATACTGACCATAAAGCACTGCCTGAAGATGGCAGGAGTGGCATTACATTTGAAGATGTATGTCATTGAGCATCAACTTCATTTTAATTCACTGCGGCTTCACAGAGGGCGGCAGTACTGCTGCCTGCACTGAAAACAGTTCCTAGCATGTCTAAAGTTTAGCTAAAAAAGCACTCCACCCATGTGGAACACAATGGCCCAAGGAAATGGAAGCCAAAGAGGATTGAAGAACTTAACGAGAACGGTCAAACAGGGCTAGAAGAGGAACAACATCTGCTTTTGGAGTACAAAATGAGATGTTGTTATTTTTTTTTGCCAGAGGAGTCAAGGACCTTGAACATATGCCGGAATAACAATGCCTCATAGAAAATACTGTACAGTACAGTTACGGCAACTCACATGTCCTTGTACTTGTGTGGTAATGAATAAGGCCCAGAGTTTTTCCAGGTCAGTTCATGTGGTCAGGAAAAAACATAGAAATAGGAAATAGAATAATGGTAATTTAATAGGATCTCTATGGGAAAAACTCTTAACCGACAGTTAAATTCAATTTGTGTAGGAAACAAATTGAGAGGAAAATAGAAAAGGCCACCTTTGAAGCTGGGTTGCATCCCAAATGGCACCCTATTGGCAATATAGTGCACACATTTTGTGCACTGTGTAGGGAATAGGGTACTATTTGGAACACAGTACTGGTATGTGACATGTTTACAGTTCCAGTCTGATGACGGTACATTGAGTACTAGATTAATTGTTCTGTTCAGACTCTCATAGATTTCTCTATAAGGATTGTGGCTGGGCTTGGTCCGTCTCTCCACTGTTGAGAGATTTTGTGGGATGGCATGCAAATACTGCAGTCATTCATTTATTTATTTTCATTGTGAAACAAGACTGTGCATTGAATCGCTATGAGCTATTTGTATCCTCAATAAAATAGTCTAGAACAGCCTTGGAGGTAGGCAGGTGAGTCTAAGCAAACTGTGCACTAGACCAGAGTGAACTGAGACAGCACTTTCCTTTCCTCTGTCAGAGACAATACACGACTCCCTATTGTGTCATGGCAGCTGACCAAGCCCTGTTAACCTTGTCAGAGTCAAGATTCACTCTCTCTACTGCATGTATCTTGGTCACAACTAGGACTAGGATAAGGTACAAATTACCATATTGCCACAGCAATACATAAAATACATCTGAAATTGATATGATCTGCTGGATCATGCTGCTGGATGCTGAATGTCACTTTAATACCTCTCATATGCCATGGTCTTAATAAATTGTCATGTTCAGCCTTCTGGTATTGTTTGCCAAGCCACTGATTACACCTCCATTATGCAATGGCAAATGTTTTTATCAAGAAATAAATCATTGTCATAGCTTAGCTTGCTTCCTCGCTTAGAGTATAATAACATTTGCTGAAACTCTCTCACGACGTCATACCTCATAATCAAAACGATGATATCCGTTGTGGTTTAAGACAGGAATTGTAATTGATGGTAGCTACATATAATATTTTCCAAACATCGCATATTTCAGTAAATGCAAGGGAAAATCCACATCATACATGGATAGGAAATATTTTTCCACAATTTGTTATGGATAGATTTTTGTCCTTTCCTATAAATGTTGTTTTCCAAGAAGAAATAACTAACCCTTGAATTGGCTTGTGGATTATTCTAATTCTCTTGTCATAGAATAATACTCACATAACAGCCACAGTTTACTGTACAGTAGTCCACTTTACAGAAGATCAGAAAAGTAGCATCTACACGAATAGCGACATTTATTACACAGGTCAATGGAGACAAATTCTCAAGTGCGCTGTCAAGACTGTATAACCTCATCTCTACTGTGTTCACTGACTGTGTCTCTAATAGGATAACGCCACATTTAAGAGCTCAACTAACCAAAACAAGGTAGCATCCCAAATGGCACCCTATTCCCAATATGGTGCATTAGAACCCACAGGGCTCTGGTCAAAAGTAGTGCACTACATAGAGAATAGGATGCCATTTGGGACACAGACCAAATGTTGAGGGGGCTGTCTTGTGGTGGGACTGTAGTTTATAGTTTCTCAGAGACAGCCTGTCACACCTAGTGTATAACACCACCTCTCCTCTCTGTTGCTGGCCCGGTTCACTGACTTACCATCTTTGCGTTGATATGTGATTTCCACCTTGCGCTCTTCTGAACCCATCAGAGCCTGGGCCACCTGGCTGATGGCATGTGTGTCAGTGTGCTCGCCGTGGAGGAAGTCACAGGTGCATGGCTTCTGCATGACATCCGGTCTGGAATAGCCGGTCATCTCACAGAAGCCGTCATTACAGTAGATGATCGCACAGTTCTGTACCCGGGCATTGGCTATAACAAATGTCCTATCTGTAAGAAAGCAAAAAAAATGCACAATGCTATCAAACCAATCTTTATGTACAGCAGTCTAGAGGTAATACATTAGAATCAGAGAGTTTTTGAACATGTACTTTGCTTTATTTGTAAACTGAAGACAGTCCAATATTTGATTTTATTAATACAAAGGTGGTATATATTTTTTAATAATTGTTGAGAATTTCTGAAACAACACTTGATTCCTGAGTAAAGCTATTGACTTGAAGCATACAAGAGCATAGGAGATAATAATAATAATCATAATAATAACAATTGATTGGACTAATATATTGCTTTTCTAGACACCCAAAGCGCTTTACATAGTAAGGGGGAAGCTCAACTCATCCACCTCCAATGATACTAAATAGATAGTAAATAGATAGTAATAGATAGTAAAGATATAGTAAAGCTCAACAAAGTACATTATTGACACTGCTTGATTTGTCGCTAAACAATTTATTTCAATGAACAAACCCCATTCTCAATTGGACAAGATCAAACTGTTTTTAAAACATAACTTCATTTCCAAACAGACTGATATAGGCCTACACGACTGCCACAATGCCAAGAATAACACTTTAGATTAAAATGATGATACCAGGGATGGTATACTTACTCTGTCCCTCGAATTTCCTTATTATTATTCCAAGAAATGTATTTTGTGGCGCAACGTGACCTCTCCGAACAGGCATGATTTTTCCGTGGTCTTGTATAAAGGCGCTTTCGCAATGAGACCTGAATTTACTGTTGTTGCCTCCACTTCATTATATTTCCTTTGTCACAAATCATAGCCTACTCGACGCACGCACTTTCAACTTTAAATGACCTTTCCCAAATTCACAAGAATACGCTTTAGCCTGCATCCATACCGGAGCATTTGAATGACTCCTTGCCGATATGCACGGAATCGGGGAGGATTGCAATGGTCAGATGTAGTTTGTAAACCATTTCTAGTTGAAGATGGATGTGATCTTGACGTTCTCTGTGGCGATGTGGTGGACGACTAGAGGACAGGGGCTGATATGCCAGGGGAGTGACGTTACCCCCTAGGGGCTTAGTGCACAGCGCTGCCACCTCGGGTAAGGTTAGTTCACAGTGCAATCTCGAAAACCTGTACAGTATGTCCTCTTCAGTGCGTATGTAGTACGTGCGCAATGAGTTGCATCTTTGAGTTGGAGCCACGTGGTTTTTATTTACGTACAGTATATATAGCATCCATGGACAGAATATTAATGAAAAAGCTTTGAGTTCATAGTACAACATAAATAATCCACAACGATAAATGAAAGATGTACTTTATCCATCGTATTTGTTTTGTGATTAATACACAGCTTGAGCTTTACCATTTCAAACTGATAACATGAAAGCGTTCTGTAACAGATTGTTAGTAGTTTATGCTGTAGCCTAGTAATAGCGCACGAGGACTTGTCCATGGTGCTGAAGTTTCAGCGATAACAAATGTGCGCATTTGAGACCGCTTGATTTCCTTATAAAATATTGTTTAGAATTGATTATATAGCCTGTTGACAGTTTTTATTTATTTGCATAGTTCTACCTTGTTGTGTAGCAAAACATAATTCAAATGTACTCAATAAGTGTTACATTCCAATTTATATGAAACCCATACATGCCTAATGTACAGCTCAGCTAATCTCTGTATAAATATGCAAATGTTTGCAGAATGAAAAGCCCTTCATGCTGTCCTGCAACATCTGTCCATGTATTCAGTATAAGAGCTCATCGCCTATCTGCTCCATTAAGAAAACGGGTTGAATGAAGGCATGACAGACAAACACAACAATATTTACAATAGAGAGCCTTAGCATGTGTACTGCACGTGACCTCTTCTCTTCTCATTTTACTGTAAGCTATTACTACTTGTGTATAGTAAAGTCTTGCATAATATTTTGTCTTCCAGCATTCTTTTTAGACTACTATTTTAATCTCAGTCTGATATTTATATCAGAACATTTGAACTGCAAGTAAATGTACAACACTATTAATATATATTCTATCTTCTAATCTCTCCTCTTCTAGACCAGTAAAAGGCACAGCTTTGTTGTGTTTTTTTATTTAATCCATGTTGACAAGTCTCAATTTAGCCATATTTGGGATTCGGCTATTTCAGCCACACCCATTACTGACAGGTGTATAAAATCGAGCACACAGCCATGCAATCTCCATAGACAAACATTGGCAGTAGAATGGCCTTACTGAAGAGCTCAGTGACTTTCAACGTGGCACTGTCATAGGATGCCACCTTTACAACAAGTCAGTTGGTCAAATTTCTGCCCTGCTAGAGCTGCCCCGGTCAACTGTAAGTTCTGTTATTGTGAAGTTGAAAGTTCTAGGAGCAACAACAGCTCAACCGCAAAGTGGTAGGCCACACAAGCTCACAGAATGGGACCGCCGAGTGCTGAAGCACTTAGCGTGTAAAAATTGTCTGTCCTCGGTTGCAACACTCAATACCAATTTCCAAACTGCCTCTGGAAGCAACGTCAGCACAATAAATGTTCGTCGGGGGCTTCATGAAATGGGTTTCCATGGCCAAGCAGCCACACACAAGCCTAAGATCACTATGCGCAATCCCAAGCGTCGGCTGGAGTGGTGTAAAGCTCACCACCATTGGACTCTGGAGCAGTGGAAACGCTTTCTCTGCAGTGATGAATCACGCTTCACCATCTGTCAGTACGACGGATTAATCTGGGTTTGGTGGATGCCAGGAGAACACTACCTGCCCCAATGCATAGTGCCAACTGTAAAGTTTGGTGGAGGAGGAATAATGGTCTGGGGCTGTTTTTCATGGTACGGGCTAGGCCCCTTAGTTCCAGTGAAGGGAAATCTTAATGCTACAGCATACAATGACATTCTAGACGATTCTGTGCTTCCAACTTTGTGTCAATAGTTTGGGGAAGGCCCTTTCCTGTTTCAGCATGACAATGCCAACGTGCACAAAGCGAGGTCCATACAGAAATGGTTTGTCGAGATCTGTATGGAAGAACTTGACTGGCCTGCACAGAGCACTGAACTCAACCCCATCGAACACGTTTGGGATGAATTGGAACGCCGACTGTGAGCCAGACCTAATCGCCCAGCATCAGTGTCCGGCCTCACTAATGCTCTTGTGGCTGAATGGAAGCAAGTCCCTGCAGCAATGTTCCAACATCTAGTGGAAAGCCTTCCCAGAAGAGTGGAGGCTGTTATAGTAACAAAGGGGGGACCAACTCCATATTAATGCCCATGATTTTGGAATTAGATGTTCGATAAGCAGGTGTCCACATACTTTTGGTAATGTAGTGTATTTGTAGACCCAGAGTGAATGTGAGTGTATTTTAGCCCTCAGCTGGTGTGTTGTGATCTCTGCAAGGCGTGGTGGTGCCACTGTGTATTAGCAGAGCTGTTGGTGTGGCTTACAGGAAAACACAGCCCTCCTCTGGCTTCAGAGCTTTATCTGTGGGCTTTTATTCAATCACAGTTGCATTAAGGGAATCAGTAGGCCTCCCTCATTACTCATTCTACAGTTACACCAGTTACACTGGGACCTTGCAGATATGTACCAGGGTGGTCATCATTCACCCAAAATCAAGTTATGGGTTATGGGGAAAATCTTTTTTTATGTCTTACATACACTACAATTAAAGCTGAATTTCTTATGTGGAAATGGATACATGCTTGGAAGCGTGCAAGACTTGACTAACGCATACATCATAGTCACATGAGTGTGTTTGATTTATGTGATAAAATATGCTGAGTGTTTACGGCAGAGGAGAACCTTTGGGTGGGTGCAGGGTGATATTTAATGACCCCGTTTGAGTGTTCCACACAAGGCAAACAGTCCCTCACCGAGCCCCTAGTGCCCTTGGGTATGGATATTACAGATGCTACAATCTGGTCCCTCCTCTCTCAGCAGCCAGCATCCTGAGTGTGAAAGTCTGGAAATAGAACTAGCTGGCACTGCTGGAGCTATGATGGCTGGCGCTCACTTTGATTGCAAACCATGACATAGTGAGGGCACCTACTTACCAGCAGTGGTTTGATCTCTGTAATGGCTGCTGGTTACTGATGTCCTAATTAGACGTATATTGAAAATGCTTATATAGGGGATATTGACATTGCTTTGTTTGGACAAAAATACTAAAAAGTTATCATTTGGAGACTGGCCAGGTTAACAAAAATCAAAGCATGGATTGCTGTCTTACCTTGTCCATACACTTCTTACAGGGTAAAGAAACCAATATATAATTTTGTAATTTGGGTGAACTATCCCTTTAACTAACTGTCATTAAAACCATATGATGCATTGTAGAAGGCAATATACTGTTTGTAGTATCTGTACTGCTGGAGAGATGTCAGAGACTCACAGAACTGTAGAAGTAGACGTTATGAGGCTTATAACATTGGCAAACAGATACTGCCAGTAGGCTAAATGACATGAATGATCTCCCTTGAGTGATGCTGCACACATGTCCCCCGGTCCTCCTCTATTACATTGAAGGGAGCGGTTACTCTGATCTATTGTTCCCTATGCAGAGTCTGGAGTAGTCTGACATTAAAGACATTCTCCGGGACTTTAGCGAATTGGGCTAAACTACGTCAGTATTGTTTAAACCTCCCCTTTGGGCTGGATGTGTCAATGTGTAGTTCATACATGCATAATCTATGAGCAGAATTACTGTTTTACCTCTATTAGCCACGAAATCCCTAGTTTGAAAGTGACTGTTTTTTGGAAGCTGTGCGGCACAATTTTTCCTATTTAGGGAATCTACACACATTTTGGTTACGTACCGCAAGCTTGACCCACGTGGGCCTGCCACCTAGCAATTTGAGTTCCATCCAATGAGTTTCAGACCCTCACCATTTGAGTGACAGCTAGCAAGATGCATGAGTTTGCACAAGACTGACGAGACTGCAGCTAGCTAACAGAGTCGTCGCATGGATTGGGTAAACAATTGCTATTATTTTCAACATGTCATCCAAACAGGTAAGATATACAAGCTATGCATCGTGTTTTTATGAACACTGATTTACGAACTGATGTGTTTTATACAACTGAGGGGTAGGGGTATAGTAAATAAATATATAAAAAAGGGGATTAGAAATTATGCAAGTAATGTTAGACTCCAATTATATCTACTAATTTCGTAGCTGATCTATCCCCTAAAAAACAAACAAAAAACAAAAAACATGGCTGTTGGTTAGTCGACCTAGGCTAGCTATAGCAAGAGCCATATACAGTGCCTTCAGAAGGTATTCAGACCCCTTGACTTTTTCCACATTTTGTTATGTTACAGCCTTATTCTAAAATTGATTAAATTGTTTTTTTTTGCATCATCAATCTACACACAATACCCCATAATGACAAAGCTAAAAACAGGTTTTTAGAAATGTTTGCAAATTTAAAAAAAAATAAAAACAGTAATATTTACATAAGTATTCAGAACCTTTGCTATGCGACTCGATATTGAGCTCAGGTGCATCCTGTTTCCATTGATCATCCTTGTGATGTTTCTACAACTTGATTGGAGTCCACCTGTGGTAAATTTAATTGATTGGACATCATTTGGAAAGGCACACACCTGTCAATATGAGGTCCCACAGTTGACAGTGCCTCCCGAGTGGCGCAGTGGTCTAAGGCACTGCAGCCACTAGAGATCCTGGTTCGAATCCAGGCTCTGATGTAGCCGGCCGCGAT